TGCTGAGTGAATGAGTCAAATACATTTACTGAGAGGCTGGATGGCAGAGATATGTCACGCTCCTACAGAGATGTGGATTCAAACCGTGGCTCTGGCACTTACTAGCAATGTGCTCTGGGATGGGTTACTAAAGCCCTTTGGGCCTCAGTCTCTGTTCTGTAACAACAGTACCTCCTTCATAAGATTGCGATGGGGACTCAATGAGTGAATCCATTCAGTTTTTCAGAAAGAGCCTGGCACACACAGAGGCACTCAAGAGAGTTGAGTGTTAGTGTTCTTACAGGTAAAGTGCAAGACTTTCAAGGTTCAGAGACTCAGAGGCTGGCTTCCTGTAGGAAAGGATGGGATAACTCCGAGAGGGCTTCCTGGAAGAAAGGGCATTTGAAATGGGCCATAGAGGGGGGACATGAAATTTCTCTAGGCAGAGGTGGGGGAGGCAGGCCTGGAGAGAGGAGGGACACCGGGTCCCAGGAAGAGACCCGGGGGCACATCAGTCCTGCGCTGAGGCTGAATGAGATGCTCTTGATGCTTCTTGCAGAGATAGGCCCAGCACGGGCTGCCCTGTTTTCAGCCCGCAGCCTCCCTGCCCCCACGACCTTGACATTTCATGTACCCATTTCCTGTGTTTGGTTTGTACACAACGAAGGCTGACTCCGAGGAGACACGGGGAGGCTGTCTGAAAATGCCCCAGAAGAGGATGACTCATTTGCCCCAGTATCAGCCCTGGTGGAACTGAGTCAATTTGACATGGGGCAGATCTGCACAAGGATGGCTCCCAAATGTCATGGAGGCCAAGGATGTGGCCCGATGCCATTGTGCTGACTCTTTGGGTTGCTCTCAGTCTCCTCACCTGTAAAATGGGAGCGGACGCTCCTCAGAGTTGCTGGGACAGGGAAATGAGTCTTGTCTGGCACAGTACATTTCACAATGGTTCCTGCCTGGCTCCTCATGTCGTTCATTTGAAAACACTGTAGGATGGGTCCTTTTATTCTTCCCATTTCACAGATGGGGAACCCCGAGGCTCAGAGGAGGGCCCTGGCCTGCTCTGCAGCACATGGCCGGTGGATAGCAGCCCCAGGGCTGATCTCCAGACAGCGTGCAGGTGATGATCAGGTAGAGGCAGAACCTAGAAGGTGAGGGTGACTAAGAAGATGCAGTTGGTGGGGCGCCTGGGTGGCTTAGTCGGTTAAGCGTCCGACTTTCGCTTAGGTCATGATCTCGCGGTTCGTGGGTTCGAGCCCCGCGTCGGGCTCTGTGCTGACTGCCAGCTCAGAGCCTGGAGCCAATTTCAGAGTCTGTGTCTCCCTCTCTCTCTGACCCTCCCCTGCTCACGCTGTCTCTCTCTCTCTCCTAGAAATAAATAAAACATTAAAAAAATTAAAAAAAAAAAAAAAAAAAAGAAGATGCAGTTGGTGGAGAATGAACGCATTGGGCGAAGCAGGGGAAGGCTGTTGGCTATCTCTCCGCTTCTTTTCTGAAGAGGGGGGTCCGCCCCAGCACAGCGAGGAGGGCGGGGGGCGGGGCTGAAGGGCTGTGGGCCTGTGCGCTCACATCTGGCTCTAGAGATCATCTTCTCTCAGATGTGGCCAAAATGGAGGTAAGTTTTGCTCTTATTCTAATGGGAGGAGGAGAGGCCAAGTCCATTCAACAGAGAGGCCACAGCAAGGACTAGAAGGGGCTTTAAAAGGCCTGGAGTTTAGGGGCACCTGGGTGGCTCAGTCGGTTAAGCGTCAGACTCTTGATCTAGGCTCAGGTCACAGTCTCATGGTTTGTGAGATCGAGCCCTGTGTGGGAGTTCTGCGTTGAGCCTGCTTGGCATTCTCTCTTGCTCTCTCTCTGCTCCTCCCCTGCTCTCTCTCAAAAGAAATTAAAAAAGAAATAATTTTTAAAAAAAGCTCAGGAATTTAAATCTGCGTGCCAACCACTGTCAGAAGCACTTCTAACATTTTCCTGTTTGCTCCTCACAACAACTTCATGCACGGATACTCTGTCACCCCCATTTTGCAGACAAGCAAAGCGAGGTGGGTAAAGTAACTGGGAAGTGAAGCTGCCGCCAGCACCCAGGCAGTCGGCTCAGAGCCTCACCCAGTCACCGCTATGTTGCCTGTCCTGTGTGTTCCAAACTGCAAGGTCCTGGCATCTACTAGTTACTCTGCAAACATCAGGTGAGTGAACAAATACACGGAGAAGTAAAAATGGCCCATGTGAATCAACCTGTGAGTAGAAAGTGAGTTTAGAGACTGTGTAGTCTTCCTCACGGATGTGGCAGGTGTCTTTCCTGTGATACCCTAGTGAGCACCTCGTTGGTTCCCCCCAGAGATGGAGAGCTCACTCTTTGATTTGGTGCGCAGCTTAGCTCTCACAGTGAGTGTGGAGGCTGAGCCTGTGGTCCTACTAGAGTATGAGATGTCAGAGCTGGGGGGCCCTTCATGTCCCTCCACACTTCCCACATGTCCAGATAAAGAAGGAGACTATTGTCTGAGGCTCCCCACTGAGCAGGGCTGGGGCGGGGGAGCAAAGGCAGGCTGGGCTTACCCAGGGACAGAGGAAGGGCCCCAGTCCTGGATCAGACCTCCTGGGTGAGACCTCAGATGTGTTACTTAACACTTCCCAACCCCCCACCCCTCACCTTAGTTGTGAAACCTGCATTAACAAGTGGCTCCTATCTCGTAGGGTGGAGTGAGGAGTCCTGGATGGGGGGAGGCGCAGTCCTTGTGACCAAGCCCCCAGCCCCACAAACACTCCTTAGATACCTCCTCTGGCAGGGCATATTGCTGACCCCACTTCTTTTCCTCTGGAAGGCAAGCAGGGCAAAGGCATGTGTCCTCATTTAATAGATGACCTAAGGCACAGAGAGGTTAAGCAACCATCCAGCGCTCCAGTGAAGGAGGGTGGAGCCCCGGCCGTCTAGGTAGGGCTTGGTGATTGCAACACCGTTGGGATGCCCGAAGGCAGAGTCAAGTGTGGGTATGGAGCTTGGGTGTTGGGAGTAGGGGAGTCACCAACGGGTGTACAAGGAATCACTGGGATTTCCCTGGTGTCCCCCTCGGGGTGGGTGGCATCTCTGGGACCATGGGTGCCGCGCTTGGGGCCCCAGGGAAACCCTGGGGCTTTAAGAGTCAGACTGCCTTCCTGTAGGCCTGTTTGTCTCTCTAGTGTCCCCTCATCTGTGCTCAGCCCATGGGGGTGGCGGGGACCCACGGCTTCCTGCTGCAAAGCAGGCCTGCATGTATGCCCATGGGCAGAGCAGAGGCGGTACAGCAGCTGGAAGTTTGCTGCGGGAAGAGAGGTGAGGCAGTGATGTGAGGAGCTCCAGTGGGTCTGAGCTGTGGCCAATAGATAGGGCATGACCCTTGGGACTGGAGTCCTCTAACACTTATCCAGACCCGGCTCCACCCCATTTCCTTGCTGCCCATCTGTCTACCAGCTTTCCTCCCCCTTCCCCTTCTCATGCCTACCTTGCTTCTTTTGCTCAGCTCTGCCCGCCTCCTCCTTGTTCCTTAGGTACACCAAGTGCCCACCCACCACCGGACCTTTGCATGTGCTGTCCCTGCCACCTGGAATGCTCTCACTCCAGACATTGTGCAGTCGGCCTTCCTTGCCGTATTCAGTCTGTGCTCAGAGAGAGTTGAAGCCAAGCCCTCTCTTCCATCTCTTTCCCCTCCCCTTGCTTTACTTTGCTCCATGGTTCTTACCACTGGATATCATTCATGTATTTCCTTATTAATTAATGCTTTATCTCCCTCTCCAGCTCTAAGAGGGCAGAGATTTTTGCATTTTGTTCACTGATGTATCGCCAGTGCCCAGAACGGCACCCAGTATGCAATAGGTCCTCAATAAACAGTTGCTAAATGCATGGCTGAGTCCATCCACCTGTCTGTTTTCCTGCCTGCCCATCAGCTATTCTGTCTTCCCGCATTCCTCCAGTCATTCACCAGTCCCTCAGGATTTCTCTACCTCTGGACTCTGGGGCTCGGGTTTGGTGACCTGGCAGGGCACACAGACAAGAGAGGAGGCGAGAGGTGAGGGAAGGTTCCCAGGGCACAGGGTGGCCTGCAGCAGCACCATATATAGGCTTTGTTGAATGAGTTGATGCCTGGGTGGCTTCCTGGAAGAGGTGGTGGCTCAGGTCTCAATACTAGGGATACTGGGGGTAGGGGCTGGAATCAGGAGCCACCTGGGGAAAGGGGTTCCTGGCTGTAAGAACTTTGAAAAGATCCCCATGCCTGGAGAATTGCTGGTCCCAGGTGAGGCCAAAGGGTGGGGCTGGGGCTGGCCAGGCAGGGCTGGGGGCCAGTGGTCCAGGAGGAGGCTGGTGCCCAGGGTCCCCATGGGGTCCTCTTGGGTGGGGCAGAACCTGCCTGGACCACTTGCCTTTGTATCCCTTGGGGTACCTGGAGACTTGGAGCAGCTGCCCCACCCCCACCCCTGCCTTAGGAAAAAGCTCCCATCCCTGCCCCCACCTTTTGTCTGACTCAATTCCTGCTTTGTGTCCCACACACAGCTGGATGTTCTGAGAGTAGAGACTCTCCCCATCCCCCTACCGCACCCCTTCCCCTCCAGTCTCCACCAGCTGCGGGCTGCTGACTTGTTTTTATTATAGGCAGGTAAGCCTGCTCCCAGGCTTCAGGTGGGGCCTGAGCTCAGGGAGGAGGCAGGAGGGAACTCACAGAAGTGGTAATTACATAGGGGGCAGTATCCTCCAAACGTGACTCCCCCAGGCTCATTGGGGGCCGTGGTGGGCCAGCAGCCCATGCATTCAGTAGAGTTGCTGAGAACCCACGCAGGGCTGAGGCCAGGGGTGAGGGCGCTCAGCACCCAGGGGGGCCAGGTTAGCGCAGCAGGGAAATCCTGGAATGAGGGAGGGAGGTGGCAGCCAACCGGAAATGGCAAGACCGGCAGGCGGGGCCTCACCTGGGACAGCTTGTCCTGACAGGCTCACACTGGGTGCCTGGGAGCCAGTGTGGACGGAAAGGAGGCAGAGTCCGGCCCTTGGTGCCTGGCCTGCCCAGACTCAGAGGTAAGAAACTGCTGTTCGCTGTTTACGGGGGAGGTCGGGGCAGGAAAATTCACCAGAGTTTGACTCCCAGCCTGGGCCGCTTGACCTCAGGTCTAGTTCAATGCCCCGAGGACATGCGGGAGGCCTGGCCCTTGGTCGGCTCAGGGTCCTGGGCTGATCTGGAGGCCGTGTCTGTCCTGAGGTTCACCCCTGTTGGATGGGCATGGTGGTCATTTAAGCCCAGGGAGGCTGGTGGGGCGACCACATAAGGTTGAGGTCCAAGGTGAGGCTGGAGCCCTAGTGCTTATGTGGGGAGGCAGGAGCCTGCACCCAGTGACTCTGCCTGCCTGCAGGCGCCTGCAGCCTGTTTCCTCCTGGGATCCCAGGGGAACCGGTTTGGGAGCAGGCTGGCCCAGGTTATGTGACTTTTGACAAGGAAAAGAAAGGCAGCCTTGCCTGGTCGGCTGAGTGGAGGGGACAGGGCGCAGGCGCAGGGTCCTTTGCCTCTCTCCAGGCCCCTCAGAGAGATGAGACCCCTATATGGTGTCTGCTGAGATGGGATGGGAGAGCCACCGGGGAGGAAAGCGCCAGGCCCCCCCCGCCTCCCAGGCTTCGGAGCCGGGCCTGCCTTCTCTGGGCGGTTTCCCTCTCTGCACCACGAGGGGGCTGGGCAAGGGCAACGGTCTGAAAGCAGAGAGAGGAGCCGCCGTCCCCCCATGCCCACCCGGCCCCCCACGGCCCTCCTTGGGTCTCCCAAGCCCCACGCATCAGCCAGGCAGAAGTGGGTGGCCAGAGGTGGGAGGCGTCTGGTGCCCTGCGGCCTCGGCCCCTACCAGCTCGGCTCCCTTGCGGTGTGTGGGCAGCAAAATGGTCCCCCGTGTTTCCTCTGTTACTTAGACAGCCCTTCCTAATGAGCGGCTGTCACTGTAGCTCCATTATGCCTCCTGGGCCACCTGCGCCCCTGCACTCCAGGGGAGACCCTGTGACTCCCTGGCTGCCAGGAAGGGGGCACTCCTGGGAGATTTGCGGGGCACTCTGTGGGTTTTCCACAAACTGTCCAACTCCAGTTCCTCGTGTTGCCAAGAGAGAAGCAGTGCAAGCTGGATTTCCGGGCGAGGAAACTGAGGCCCCCTCCTCGGACCCTCAGGCGGGCCTCGGGCAGCCAGTGCCTTACCACAGCACTGTGCCGGGCACCAGTAGGTGTGTGTGTGTAGGAGTTGGCCTGGGATGCACAGGGAGGTCAAGGCGAGCTCCTGGGCCCTGGGGACCCTGTGGCAGTCCATTGAAAGGGCACCTAGTTATCTTTGAGACACTGCTGTGCACCTGATGGGTGCCCACCAGACCTCTCTGGGCCTCATCTGCTTTCCTTGGCCTGGGAGCTGCAATGGTTCACTGATGGACCAGAGGCCTCTGGCTTACGTCTTGGGTGTCCAAGCGGCTGCCTCCCCTCCCCCTCACAGGCCAGGGCCTGCGGGGTGGCTGACAGAAGGCACACAGCCGTGGAGACATCAGCTGTGTGGCCCATCCCAGCCCTCCCATCTGAACAGGGCGGAGGAGTTAGAAGTCTCTTCTGGGTACGAACCCTTGCCCCACTGAGGGAAGGTGCCTTTAGAAGATGGCTTAAGGTAGTGACAACACCTGTTATTGTGAGATGGGCCTGGTGTCCCCATTTGACACCTGGGGACACTGAAGCACAGGATGCTCAGAGGGGGACAGTTTGGTGTCAGGTCCCGTGCTGTGCTATTTGAGGGACTTTGGGGCCATGCTGGGAGGAGTCTAGGCAGGGCGAGGGGCCTCCCAGTCGCTGGGTCTCCCCCCGGCCTGAGCAGGGCCCCCAGGGTCCTCTGGGGAAGAGCAGTCCCCTAGCTGTCACTCTGAGGAAGAGCCTTACTGCTGGCCCCGGAGGCCATGTGGGAAGGCTCCACCCAGCCCACCCAGCACCAATCCCCAGAGCCACAAAGCAGGTGGGGGTGGGGTTGATGTTTACAGATGGGTGGGGGCCTCCCTTGAGGAACGCAGGCCTCTACATGCCTGTCCCTGCACCTGTTTCCCACAGCAAGAGTGGTCCAGGCTGGCCGAGTATGGAAGTGAGGGTGGGGAGAGAGCTTGGGATCCATCTTTGGTGGGCCCATCCTTGCCCTGGGCTCAGGGGCTTCTGATGGCTGAGAGGCAGGAGTGTGGCCAGAATGATCTTCCAGGCCTGTTCTGGCTGGATCCAACCCTCCTGCTAAGTGCAAATGGAGGCTGGGCTGAGGTTAGACATTCCGTCACACCTGGAAAGAGGGGGTGGCAGCTCTGTGTACCTTCTATCTCAGGCCTCTGGGCACCTAGGTGTGCCTGCCTCCTGGGGAAGTTGGCAGGGGTGGTCTTTGATGCCTAGCCAGCTGGCACTCTGAAAGGACCCGCCTTCTGTAGCGGTCCCCTCCCAGCAGGACAGGGACAGGGTGACCGTGGGCTGGGGGGTGTCTGTCTGTCTGCCTGCCTGTCTGTCTGTGCTGGGCCCAAGGCCACTTCCTGTCTGCATGAGGCCACGATGCTGCTGGAACCAGGAAGGAGGTGCTAGAGGAGCTTCAGGCCTTGAAATTAGATCCCCGCTCAAATCCTGTGCGACCTTGGGCTGGCTCCCTTTCCTCTCTGAGCCTCCGTCTCCTCCTCCAGCAAATGGGGCAAGGCCTCCTTGTTCGAGTTGTAGGAGATAAATTCAAGTCACTCGCCAGGCACACGGTGCTCAGTAGGGGTGCGTGGGCTGTGAGTCTCAAGCCTTGGAGGGGGGGAAGGGGTGGGAGGAGGGCAGTGCTGGGGACAGGCAGAGACTCAGGAGCCGGGCTGGCAACCAGGGAGTGCCTTTTCCCTGACCGCAAACTCCAGGGCTTTTGAAATCGGACGCAGGTAAATGTGGCCAGGTGCCTCAGCTCCACCCCCGAGGGGGCCAGCTAGGTTGAGTCTGTTCTTGGAGCTCCAAATAAGGTCTCAGAGAAACAGGCGGGGACCTGGGCGGTCTCTAGCCTCCCGTGTGCCTGGCCTGGCCTTCCCTCTTTGAAGCTGGCACCAACCTCTTGCATCCCGCGCCTGGGCTTGTATGTCTATTAGACTTGTCACATTTTAATGGCCTACAGTGCCCCTTGCTCTCCCCAAGTCTTGGATACGTCAGACTCCCTGTTCCTTCTCCAGCCAGGGGATGAGCATGGGGGAGGCCTAAGGCACAGGGCACACAGCTCCCTTTGTGTGGGCGGATGAGTCACATGGGCAATGCCATCCACGCTGGGCCCTGGGGTGGGTGTGACGGGAGGTGGTGTTATCACGGGGCTACAGCTGCCCCCGCGGCTGTGGCCAGGAGGCTTTCCCACGGGAACAAACAGGAACGTGTCTGGGAGTACTGGCCTCCAAGCACGTGCTCTGGATCCCAGGACCCCAGGTTCAAGTCCTGGCTCTGCTGCTGATGTGCTATGAGGCTTTGGAAAGCTTCTCTTTTTGAGCCTCAGTTTCTGTCTCTGTTAAATGGGAACAGTCACCACTGTTGTGTGGAGGCGATGCTGGACGTGAGAGGACTTCATAACCTTTGGCATTTGTGTTGACCTTATGATAAGGGCAACGACATTGGCCAAGATTTGTCGAGCACCTACTGTGTGCCAGCCGTGGTGCTCAATGCTTTACGAGGCCGCTCAGCTTGCAAAGGGAGAAGCCTGGACTGGAAGTGCTCTTGTCCAATAAAAACCTACCTCCCAGCAGGTGGTGGTTGTCTGTGACCCTTCCCACAGGTGGGCACAGCTCTTCACGGTCTTTAAGGCTCGCTCACATGGCCCTGGCTGGAGATGGAGAAGGGGAGGGATTCTCCCCCCAGCTCTGTCATGGTGGGCTCCGTGGAGCTCTGTCACAGCTTATCCCCGTCCTGGGGGTCACGCATGGTCGCAGCCTTGTTTCTGTTTCGTGTTCAGGCTGCTCTGAACGGTAAGGCCCTTGCAAATACATCAGAGGTGCTCGTCCGTGCTTGGGCTGTGAGCTTTATGTATGTGGCCTTGTTAATTATTATCAGTATTGTCTCCACTCGTTAGGGGAGAAGGTGGATGGCCAGATAGACAGTGCCTGAGTCATCCGTCTGGCAGAGGAGAAGCCGGTTGGCCTGAGCCCAGGGCCCAGGTTTCCAGCCTCTCCTCCATCCCTTAAAATGAAGACCCTTTTACACCTTCACCTTCTGGCGCGCCCTATCCCGCCTCTGGCCTCTGTCACCAGTCAGTAATGCATGTGACCTTCTCTGGGCTTCGGGGATCCCAGCCCTTCACCCTGAGCTCCAGCAATGTGTTTTCAGGGGCCTGTTGGAAGGCCCCCCCACATGTCACAGGGAGACCCCCATTCTACTGTATCCAAGGGCAGCCTCTGCCCTGCCTGCCAGCTCTGGACCCCATCCTGCACCCTGTCCCCCCCCCAAGCTTCAAGGCACTGACATCGCTTCTCCCCCTCTGCCTTTATGTGTGGGGTAAGGGTCCCAGCCCCGCTTCTGGGTCCTTGGGCCAGAGTCTCCCCCACTCCTCCCTCTGGCTCTATGCTCTCCATGCCCCACCGGACCCCCCTCCACCCAGCCCAGCCACATTGCTGCTGTAAAGCCTTAGCGTCCAATCCAGGCTGTCCCTTGTGGAGTAACTCCACATCTCTAAAATACCGGCGGAACCCAGCCCATAGGTCTGGGGCTGGGGGTGGGGTGAAATGAGAACAGTCTACATAGAGCATCTTACACAGTGAATCCTACAGACACGGTAGCTACTAGCAGTCCTGTTATTAGTACTAATAATAGGTACTATTGTAATTAATAATTGGTTTCTCATTTTTGAGGTTGGGAGCTGTGTGATACCAGTAACTAAGTCCCAGTACCACCCTGATGTGAGCCGGACTCGGGGCTGGGTGGGCCTGCTGCCCATCCCTGCTCTGGAGCCTGGCACAGTGCCCGGCACATAGTAGGTCTCTGAGAAGCTCGGTGGTGACAGGGCAGGCAGGCTTGGCAAGCTCCCTCCTGCCCTGGCCAGCCCACCGCATAGGCATTTCCTGTGTGGCCAGAGCGGCAGCCGGTTCCAGGCTTCTGCGTCCCTCGCTCAGGTGTCCAGCTTGGGGTGCTCCTGCCACATACAAGGAGAGTGGTGCCCCCAATGCTCCACCCGTGTGCTGCTGGTCAGCACCGTCTGTGGGGTGTGTGTGTGTGTGTGTGTGTGTGTGTGTGTGCGCACGCACGTGCGTGTGTGCATGTGAGCATTGGGAGGGCCTGCTTCCCTGCTGGTGTGGCCCCCGCGGAACAACTGAGGCTGCCCCAGCTACCGGCTGGCCTGGCCCTGAAGGACAGACCTTGGAGACACTGCAGCTGAGAAGTGGTCACTTGCTCAGGGACACTGCATGTCAGGGACTCCACATCCTTTCCTGGATAACTCACTTCTCGGTTGTTTCCTGCCCTGCCCCACCCCCGCCAAGCGTGAACTGCCCCTCCAGCCCCGGCAATGAGCAAGGCCCCACAGTGCCCGCCTGCCCGCCCTGGGGACTGATCACTTGGAGAACACGGCACTTTATGGCCTCCTCCTCCCTGTGGCAGGATCTGTGCAGGCAAGTGAGGGGCACATTTCCCCCGCTCAGATCCCCCGCCTGCTGGACTGCCTAAAAGACTTCACTCATGCTGCATCAGGGACTTTTCCAGGTCTCTCTTTTAGAATGCAGACCCTTGCACGAGAGAAGGGGCCTGCAGCGCCCTGAGCACCTGCTGTGCCCAGTTCCCATGCCAGAGGGCTGGGGAGGCTGGATTCATGAGTGGTCAGGAGAGCCACGTGCAGCCAGGCCACCGGGGCCTCCTTCCCAGCTCTGCCGCTTCCCAGCTATGTGGCCTTGGGCAAGTGAATTCCCTTCTCTGAGCTGCATTTCTCTGCCTCCCGCGCTCCTTTTGTCATTGCCGCCCTCACGACGAATATTTATTGAGGGCTCATCAAATGCCAGGCACTGGCCTGAGCAATATGTTTTCCTCCTCACCACTGTCCTGTGGAGTGACGGTGATGGTGCGGTGTGAGGAAAGATTCTGGAATGTAGTAAATGGTCAGTAAATGTAATCATTATTATTACTGTTATTATTGTTGCTGTCACCACTTACCCTCATTAGGTTGTGAAATTCTTACAGCACCTTTGACCTGGGAGTCGTGCGGGTATGAGAGACGACAGGGAGTCCCCACTCTGTAGGGCGGGTGCGAAGCCAGCTAGGCTTCCTGACTCCCAGGGTGGCTGTGAACCTTAGCAGGAGGGAGCTGCTGACAGAGGCCAGTGGCCCGAAGGGAATGTGGGCATCAGCCCAAATCCCAACTTCTCTCCTTGAGCTTTAGGAGCCAGCGGAAATGAGTCTTCGTCTGGGCCTCAGTTTACCCTTTGGCCCAGGAGATGTACTAACAGGGACCTTCCCAGAAGCCCCTGGGGTCTCAGAATCTAGAACTGGAGTCTTGTAATGTTGAAACCTGGGAAGTATCGAGATGGGTCCCTTTGCTGTGAGGACCGAGGCTCAAGGAAGTCTCAAGGTCAAGTGGTCAGTTGTGCGTGGCCTGCCTGGCCACATGCCAAGCCACTTGACATCCCCCCTCCCCCAGCACCTTCCGCTCTGCCGGTCAGCGCCGGCTCCTGTCTGCTGCCAAGGAGGCTGGACTCTCCTTCAGGAAGGGGCAGTTGTCGCCTGGGCCGGGTGGGGGCGGGGGGCGGCAATATCTGAGGGGGCTGTCACCATGGCAACCCTGGCCTCTCTGCGGGAATTTGGGGAGAAGAGCCCTGGGGAAACGACAGATGGAGGGCGGAGAGGCAGAGTTATCCCCGGGCGGGGGTGTCTATCTGGCACCTGTCTGCCTGGATCGGTGGAGGGTGAGGCTGAGGTGCCCCCTTGCCCAGCGCTGAGTCATGGGCATCCCCCAGGGTCACTGCCTAAGCTCCCTCAGCCCTGCCTCCTCTGAGAAATCCGTGACTCACGTATGGTCCCGTCATCCCAGCCAAGCTAGGGAAGAGGGAGGAGCCCGGCTGGGGCAGGAGGGGGCCGTCTCCCCACAAACACACAGCATCACAGCCTCGCCTCCGCCTCCGCAGCTGCCTACCCTCCTCGCTCTGCTGCAAGAGGGGAGCTGGGAGCCTCCCACACTCACCAGCCCGCCCGCTGGGGGCAGCCTGACCCTGGCTGGTGGGTAAGCCTCCGAAGTGGGGCTTGAAGGGTGTTCCAGCCGCCTGGTCCCACACAGGACCTGCCTCCAGCACCAGGTACCAGATCAAGGGTGTGACAGCAGGGGGAGGAGGGAGGTGTGCGGCGGAGGGTAGGGGGAGGTCTCTTGGTGGCAGCCAGCCCAGATGATGAACTCCGCTGTGCGGGGTCTCCAGGGTTGGGGGTGGACAGACAGGGAGGTGTCTGAGGGGACAGGGCCCAGAGGATGGAATCTCTCAGAGCTGCTAGTCGTTTATTAGTTAGGGAAACTGAGGCTCAGAGTGGTATAGTCACAGGACCCAGCAAGCTGGGGTCTGCTCTCTGGGCATTCCTGCTCCCATTGCACAGATGGGAGAACTGAGGCTCCCGGGCGGCTTATCCAATGTCATGTACCAAGTTCGGGGATAAAGAACCAAGGTCCAATCCGAGGGAGGACAGGGCTCTTGAGGACAGTTTTGCTCACAGATGTCCAGGGCTGGGTCCCGGGTCCCCAAGTGAGTCAGGGGCAGTCTGGCCCTTCAGCACACAGGCCACTTTTGGGAGGAGGAAGTCCCGGCCATGGGGTCTGAGCATGGTGGTGCGAGAGGGTCTGGGGCACAAGGGGCAGATCCACGGGGAAGCAGGAGCTGAGGCTGGAGCCCCTGTCTGCTAACCACAGACCCCAGTGCCTTTGTCTGCGTGGAGCTGATAGGGCTTTCTCTCCAGGTGCCACCACAGTGCCCACCCTGGGGGGTCTGCTCAGTCCTGTTCTTCCCTCTTCCCCAACTAGCCTCCTTCCCGTGGTGCTGTGTGGGGGTCTCTGGGGGCCCCGCAGGGGGGACTGGTGCTCCTTTTATGGAGGAGGGTTGGTGGGCATATACCGAGATGGGCACCTCTCACCCCATCCTGCCGGGAGCAGCTCTGGCAAGAGCGTAGGTGGTGGGGGCGTAAGAACAGCCTTTGCAGCTCCAGAGGGCCAAAGAAGTTATTCATCTGAACATTCATTGAGCGCCTGCTGTGTGCAGCATATCCTGGGGGTGGGAGCAGTGAATGGGAGAAACAAGGTGTCTTAGAGCCCACGGGTGGCCCAGTCTGCCTCGCTGTGGTTACCCTGAGGGCAGAGGTGCTTTCTTGGGGTTGGAGACTGAGTGGGAAGACGCATCCTGCTGTGAGAGCCACTAGCTGCTGGGTTGGTTCCCCAGTCCAGGCCAGGGTCCCAGGGGACCTTCTCTGCCAACTTCCAGAGGCTGGACTCGTTTTGAGGCCGGACCTAATCCCACTTTGCTGCAGGGACCCCAGGGACCTGAGGTATGGGTCCACCTAAGTCATAGCACCTTGTCTTGCCTCTCTCTCTGGGCCTCAGTTGTCCCAGCTGCTAAATGGATGTGTAGGCGTGACGATAGGTGCCCTGTCTCCTGTGGTCCTGGGGTTTGGCTCCAAGACTGTAAGCTTGTGGAAGACACCTACCCAGGCCTGGCCTGTCGGGGGACGTGCTGGGGAGCCTGCGTGAACCGTTGCTGCCGGCTTCAGGGCCCTGGGCCACTGGGCAGGGGCTGGGCAGCCTGGCTGTGACACAGACAAACAAGACAGCTAGGACCTGAGGCCGAGGAGTGTCAAAATGTTGCTAGTAGGCAGGGAGAGAACTTTCTGGGCTGGGAGGACCCGGCTGGGGTTGGAGACTGGGGGAGAGGGCCTGGGTGCCTGTACGAGGTGGGGTGCGGGGCGTTTCGGGCAGAGGCAATTCCATAGCAAAGGTCTGGGGACGATGCGAGCCAGGAAACGGGGCAGGTGATGGCACTGGAGGCCTGGCACGGTCATTTTATGGGGCCAGGAGTGCCAGGCTGGCAGGTCTCGATCTGCTCTGCAAGGGGGAGGGTTGGCAGGATGACGTGGGCAGCACAGTAGCCAGCAGCCGGGTCAGATGGGTGCTGGGTGGGGGCTGGGTGCTCTGGCTGTGACCCCAGCAGGATGGGAGGGCAGGGCTATGACGGGGGTGGCCTGGCCGGCCGAAGCCCAGGCCTAGCTCAGGGCTCTTGCTTGGAAGGCAGCTTCATGCCTGTGGGGACAGAGGGGGGAGGGGGCCGCTGAGCTGGACGGATGGCAGATGAAAGAGGCAGCAGAGCGGTGGAGGGTCTGTGTGCTGTGGGGATCGCCTTCCCAGCAGGGCCGGGCAGAACAAAGACAGGGGGGCAGGGGTGGGCACAGCCATGAGGGGCCACGTGGTCTAGCTGAGCCAGGCTACAGGCCACTTCATCCTCAGCAAGAGCTGCATGGAGGAGTGGGTGCGGGTGGGTACAGGGTGTGGGTGCTGCGTGTGGGTGCTAGGTGGTGGGTACTGGGCGTGGGTGTGGGTGCTGCTTATGGGTGTGGGTACTGGGTGCTAGTGGCAGTGCCCCTTGCAGAGATGCAGGCACAGGTGGGCTCTTCCACGGCAGGCGGGAGAGTGGGGGGCAGGGCTCTGAGGAAGCAGTGGGGACGTCGGGGCGCAGGTGGGGAGATGGGAAAATGTTGCAGCACAGCCCCCAAGGCCCAGTGCCGCCCCTCCCCCTGAACCAGAGCCAGAGTCCCGTCCCCGGGAGGCCCTGTGGACCCCGCCTTCTGATTCACGGCAGATGGGGCGTCACGTGAGCACTCACAGCCGTCAGGGACCCGGGCACCCAGGGACCAGGCAGATGGCAAGTGGAAGTGGGGCAGGGCTGGCACAAAGGGGTCCCTCAAGCGGCGGGAGGGGCTGGCTGGGCCTCCACCCCCCAGGCTTGCCCTCCGCCAGTCTGTGTGCCTCCCCGAGAGTTCCTCGAAGCCCTTGGGGAGTCCCCCAGACCCTGGGGTCAGGCCCGCGGCTGCCGGGGAGCAGGGCTGAGGGTGTGGGAGGAGCTTGGGACCCATAAGATCTGAGCCCTGCTGGGTGCCAGCCTGCCCTGGCACGGGTGGGCTGAGGCACCTGCCCGGGACCCCTCCCGACTCTCCCTGGTGTCCTGGTGGTTTGGCCGGGGCCGCGACATCCTGGCCCTTCCCCGGCCTCAGACCCTGCTGGCCCCGGGCTCAGCACACCCTTCATTCCCGGGAGGCCCGTGCCCCTGACGTGCCCTCTTGGGAGACGAGGACACTGAGGCGCGGGAGGCTTACCCACGAGGACCTGCTTGTCTTTGGGGCTCCAGAGTCCGAGATCTTGTCCACTGAGCTCTCCCGGCCCCTCAGTCAGGAGGGGACCCTCGACCCGCCGAGGGTCCACGCTGGGTGCCAGAGGACATGTGCCCTTGTCTCAAACCCCACCCCTGCCACTGCCAAGCCCACGCTCCGCTAGCGTGTCGGGACCCACAGAGAGAGCAAGGCGGGTTTACCTGGAGAGAATCCTGGCTTTGTTCCTGTCTGGCTGTGTGAACCTGGGCGTCTGCCCCAGTTTCCATCTGGACAAAGCAGGTAACCACATACAGTGTCTGTGTTGGGGGCCGTTGCGAACATTAAGGAGCTAACGCAGAAAAGAGTCTGGAGCAGCACCTGCCCAGATAAAAGTCAGCCTTGGTCACAGCGTCTCCACAGCGGGCAGGTGGGTGCCCTGAGGCCCAGAGACGACTTGTAACAATGGGCGGGGGCGTTGGGGGGTTGGGTGCTCCATCCTGCCTGGCCCTGGGGAGGGCCGGGGCCGCTCGGGCTCTGGCAGAGCCTACCCTTTCTCCTCCTGCCTGATCTGTGCTTCGGTGTGGAGGTCAGTGGTGTGGGCAGCGGGCTCCTGAGCGGCCGCAGGCTCAGGCTCTGACAGCCTGTGGCACGCTTGGCAGTTCCAGGCAGGCAGAGATAAAAGCTGAGCCCCAGAGAGGCTGGCAGAGCCTCTAGGCCTCGGTGGACAGGGCCCCGCAGGACAGGGAGGCAGCCTGGGGGCGGGGACCTGGCTGCTGTAAGCCAGCCCATCTCGGGCTCCCTGGGAGAGGCTGGTGGCTAATGCTCCCCAGGCCCAGGGCCACTCAGACTCCACACGGGCAACAGTGAGAGAGACGAGACTCCTCTCAGGCCTCTCGGCCCTGTACTCAGGCCTCTGCCTTCCCCCTTCCAGAAGCCCTGGCCCTGTCTTTCAAAGCCCATGGGGGAAAGCAGAGGGCGACAGGGGCCCAAGGGTGCAGCCTCCCTGGACCTCAGTGTCCTCACTGTCCGTGGAGAGGGGAGTGCGCCACCCCTCTCCCCCCCAGCAGTGTGGTTGCTGGACTCTGGGGCAGCCCATGGGGACAGTGTCCTTAGCATGTCGTGCAGCTTGAGAGGCCTTCCCAAAACCTGGGCTGAAGTCTTCAGGGTCATGTGGGAGCTGAGTGAGAGCTAGGTTCCAATCCTTGAAAAGTGACCTTGAACAAGGTGCTCTATCTCTCAGAGCCTCATTGCTTAGGCTGTACCGTGGGGATGAAGATACCTACGCCTCTGATACCTCTAGAAGACCCTGTGGGGATTAGCTGAGGAGGCTGTACACTCAGGGCCCGAGGGCAGTAGACCCCCCACATCCAGTTGTCCCAGACCTTTTCTCCTCTGTCATCCAGTTCAGCTGTCCCCCTGGGAGCAGCAGCACAAGGCGGTGGCTCTGGGGCTGTCTGGCTCTGTCCCAGCCCCTCCAGCTGTGTGAACTTGGGCAGGCATATTAGCTTCTCTGTGCTTTGTTTTCCTCATCTTTAAAATGAGGATGGTAGTGGCACCTTGAGAAGGTTAAGTGAGCCACTCAATTTTCAGTGCTGAGTGTACAGCCTGGCATGCGCCATAAGTGATGCTGTCATTGCCATGTTCTGGGCCGCCACCAAGATCTTTTGGGAAGCAACCGTGAGTCTATCCTGGAGTGAGAGCCCTGGGCTCTCATGACATCACTGGGAATGTCACCAGGCCCCGGAGAGCCCACGGGGCCTTGGGTGCTCCCACCCATGGGGTCTTGACCTGCTGGCGTGAGATCTTCGAGGCTGTTGTCCTGGTGTGGGGGAGGCCTGAGTTCAAGTTGGGTGTGTTTCCCAGGGCAGTGCTCTGTGGTTACTTCTTCGCTGATCTGAATTCCCTTGGCCTCTTGGCCCCTGGCCTGCACTGGGTGGCTGACCCCCTCAGGGTCCCTGGC